CCATCTGCACAGACATCTTTGTGGATTTATACTGCATTTTGCATTCACAGTGCAGTGTTCCTTTTCTCAAAGAGGGCCCCCAAACTGCTTAAGCGTCGGGCCTCACCAAACCGGGGAGGGGATGATCAATACTGTTGGGCAAGTTCATTTAAAGTGTCCGTAACACATCCAAGGAGTCAGATTTGCTGTTAACCACATAATTTTGGAGCTCACAAGAGAGCCAGCCATCTGCATCAAGGAATTAGCGGTTCAAAGTCTCAGAAACAAATTAAACCAGCTTGTCCGGTGTTTGTCATTGCATCTGGATCACATGGGAATCAAAATACAGATTCCCTGGTCTTGTCCCAGACCTACTGAATTCGAATATTTGGGAGGAAGGCCCAGAGGGCTGCTTTAACAAATTTCCCAGAGAATTCTTATGCACAGAAACATTTGAAAACCACAGACCTGCGGAGAAAGTGTGAGGAAATAAAAAAGCATCAGGACAGGCTGAGGCACCAAATGGAAGGGTCAGTGGGAGAGTGGAAGAACAGGCAAGGGAACTTATCTGATTATTATGATGATGATATCTGATATCACTTATCTGATTATGAATAAGGCTAAACAATTATACATATGTGAATTACCTATTAATAGCCTTTACCCGTATTTTTATTGGATTATTTTCTTTTTTCTATTCATTTTTAAAACTCCATGCCTCTTAGAGATATTGCAATTATTTGGTTTACTAATCTGTCATCTGCCTTTCAACTCTCTTTACGACATCTTTGTCCTTATAGAAGTATAATGTTTCATAAAGTTAAGTCAATATTTTCCTTCATGACTTCTGAGTTTCATTAAAGTTGGCAAGGTCTTTCCTACTCCAAAGTTATTTTTGAAAACCATCTCACATATGTATGTATTTTAATGTCTATAATTTGTTTTTGACATTTAATCTTTACTCTAAATGGAATGTGCTTTTATGAATGGTACAAGGCAACCATCTCAACAGACTTCACTGTAGTTGATTTGATGTCACTTTCAATTCCTGTCTTCACAACAGAACCATTTCTGGACTCCCCATCCCTGGTCCTACATGATAAATTTTGAAATCTTGGCTGGACAATACATTTCAAAATGTATTACCTATTAGGCCAACTCTATTTTTCCAGGTAAACTTTATCAGTTTGTCAAAATGAAGAGAAGTTAAAGGACTGGCCTAAGCTCATAAAGATCTCATGACCTTTTAGTCTTGCTTAGTCACTGGGGCATCAGCCTTTGGCCAGGAGGTGGCCTGACGTCCTAGTGACTCACACACGACACAGAAATCTCAGGCTTCACGGAATTCTATTTGAATTTACAAACGGCTCAGCGAAAATATTCAAACCCAACAATTCTACTAAGAGGCCTGAATGGCCTCCTTGCGACTCAACCGATGCATCTTCTGACTCTTTCCTCACCTTCTCCCCAGTGTTTATACTCCTGCTCATACCTTTCTGAGTTGCTGATGCCCATCCTGAATCACAGTAAAGCGGGTCAGCTTACAACAGGCTATGCAAAACAACGCTGTATTTTGATAGGCACCTCTAGGAAGCTTTGCTGGCCCCCACGCTGTGGGAGCCTGGCAGGTGAGGAGCAAGTCTTTTGACGTCTCAATTTATTCGCCTGGCATCACTTATTCCAAAGGGAAATACAGGAGTGTGATGGAAGAATATGAGACCAGGAGACCTGAGTTTTGGTCCCCTTTCGACTCCTAATTAGCTGTGTGATTCAGCTATGCTGCCTCTCCTCTGGGTCTCCGTTTGCCTCACTTGTAAGATGAGATTATTAGAACAGAACAGTCATTTCTAATCTTTCTTTCGGCCATGGGTGACCCTTTAAGAACTGGAAGTAAGCTTAATAATGCACTTCTGCACATGGGTATAAAATCAGACATTTTCAGGGGGTTCAGAGATCCCGAAAGCCTATGTGTGTATCCCTAGGATCAAGATCTCTGAGACCTTCCACAAGCTGTTAAATATACCAGAGAATACAATAAACATATATAGAATCACAAAACCTTACGCCAAGTTGAATCCTTTGCAGAATTAAAAGCATCTCCTCTGTAGGTAACTGGGAGGAGGAAGTAAGTAGTTACTTAGGGAAGAATAAATGAAAGTGCAAATAAGACTTGCCCTTGAATGAGACCTGCCTCAGCCCTTCGCATACTATCACATGTTCTCACAATGGGTGAGAGCATCCGTTTCAAAGCCAGGCTGCCCAGGTCAAATCTTGTCTCCATCATTTACTAGTTATCTGCCCTGGGCTCTGTGCCACAATTTCTCCATCTGTAACAACAAAAAAAAAGGGCGCGGGGCACCTGGGTGGTGCAGTTGGTTAAGCGATCGACTCTTGGTTTTGGCTCAGGCCATGATCTCACAGTTCCAGAGTTGGAGCCCCACACTGGGCCCCATATAGGGCTAATGGTATGGAGCTTGCTTGGGATTCTGTCTCTCCTTCTCTCTGCCCCTCCCCTGCTTGTGTCTTCTCTATTTCTCTCTAAATAAATAAATAAATAAAACTTTAAAAAAAAAGGGAAAGGACTATTCATATGTATATATATATAAACATATACACATATAAATATATATATTTATGTGCACGTGCGTGCGTGGGCGCGCGCGCGCGCGCGCACACACACACACACACACACACACACACTGGGTATTTGAAACAGGCCTGGCGTACAGTAAGCCCTAAATTATTATCAGCTATTATAGAAAGATGGGATCCATTTGCAGAGTGGCTAAAATTGTGAGCTGTGAAGTTTAGGGAAGTCTTAAATGCCTTGTTGCCTTAGTCTCTCCAGATATAAAAAGGATCGATTCATAAGTTTGTTGTGACGATTAATGAGGCTGCCACATAAAAACTCTCTCACAATGCCTAGCACATAGTGAGTGCTCAATAAATGTCAGCTGCTGTTATTTACAATTCTGGGAGGCAAGGATGACCATTCCTTTTTTTTTAAATTTCTGAATAAAGGATAAGTCAGACCGGTTAAGTGGCCTGCTGACTGTGCTTCAGCTAGCAAATGACTGTGCCAAGACTTCAACGCAGGTGAGTCTGAAACCAGAATCTGTAACCACTATCCCATACTTTTACTTGAACAGGGCTAAGAGAGCATAAATGCTGATTCATACTGCGTTAACTAAGAGAAAGAAAAGAGGTGGGTGCTAAAAGTCTAAAATTTGGGCTATTCTCCATGGAGGTCAGCCCTGACTTTGGCAAAAAGCCTTTCTTTGCCACTCTTAGAACTAAAAGGCTCGAGAGGCTGGCCTTTCATCTCAACCAGTCCTAAGCCTTTCGCAAACTTGGTTCTCAAACCACAGCAGTGACACCAAAAGAGGGGGTAGAAAAAGAAGCCATTTCACAAAGTAGCTTCACTAACAAAGTGAACCCTTTAAAATGAAAGCAGAGACCCGAAAGCTGAAAGGAGATACCCAAGAGGGTTCCAAAGCCACGGAAAATTGCGTCTAGGACACAAACGTCGGCCATTAATGAATACATTTTTTATTTAGGAAAGAATGACAATTTATATCTATTTTTTGGATACCAAGCTGCAGGAGGCCTTCCCCTAAAGTAAAATAAGAGGAAGTTCTCACCACAGCCCAGAGCGGTGGGGAGAGAAGTGGAGTGCTAGTCAAGAGACCCCTGGTGCAGAGCAGTGTCACCTGAGCTCGCCCCAACTCTTTCAGCACCAACTTGCTCACGGCTGAAACCAGTAACTGGTAACGTGGGAAGCGAGAATGAAATGCACTGGCAGAAGAAACAGGACGATGAGTTAAGTACTGATCAGGGCTTGTAATCACGTTCTTCACATCTTCCCCTATTTACTTCTAAATGTATTTTATTTTTGTACCTTTCTCCAAAACATCCCCGTAATCAACCTGAAATCTACCAATCCTTAGAACAAAAAAGGCCTCAGGAATAGCCATCCCTGGAAGTGATGGCAGACAGGGCCAGAGCGCTCACCTCACGTGCCTGGTACCTCCCATACACGGATCGCGGAGCCGGAGGTTCTCACTGGCTCTCTCCCGGGCGTCCACCTTACACCGCGGCCCAGCTCCCCCTCCTCCTCCCTCCCCCCCCAAAGGAGGACAGGGAGTTCTGCATTCCAAGCCCGCCCCTGCCCCCCTCCACGTCCCCTGAGAGTCAGAATCAGAAGCCCACTAGAATCTAGGCCTGTTTCAGCTTCCTTCTGGCTGAAGGGCTCCGCTCTCCGGGCCTTAGTTTCCCCGTCCCTAAAATGAAAGGTTTGAAGGCGATCACGTGAAAGCCTCGTTCCTGCTCTAAACTTCTAATTCCATCATTCTTACAAGTAAACGTTTCCTGCAGAAATAGACGCCCTTCCTTTCAGGCAGGACACGTTGCCTTGCGTCCCCGTGACCATTCCCCTCAATAACCCGTGTAATCTCACAGAAGTATGATGCATCAGAACTGAAAAACAGGCTGTTGCTTTCTCGTGGTACCAAACCTGGTCATCAGGTCACCGTGGATTTTTCTCTCGGCCTCTTCCCTCAATCCCGCAATCCCACGAAGACCCCTGCCCACCCCCCACCCCCAATTTTTAAACTCAAAGCTACCCTTTCATGGGTTAAAAAAATATATATACCCACCCAAACCGGGCCTCGAGTAAGATGCCACAGCACTTTTTCGGGCAACCAGGATTCCATCTCCGCCCCACCCTCTCGCTGGGGTGTCTGTTTAGCCCTGAACCCCGGGATCGATACATAATACGCTCCATGCCCTTCCCTGGCAAAGAAGCCGACCATTTCTTCCTCCCCTGCACATCCCGGCTGGAAAGGTGGCAGCTCCCCGCTCCAATCCCGGGAGACCCAGGCAAGCTCTTCCCGGCCCGCAGGGAACGGCACCTGGGCGCATGGGGCCCCCCAGGAAAGAATAGGGTGGCCGGCTCGCCCGCGGCCGCGGTCCCCACCCCGGCGGCTCGGGGAAGCCTCCCCCGCAGGGCTCCTGTCACTTACAGACTGTTCCTCCCGGCAGGGCCAAGCGAGCGGGCTGGCAGGCGGCGGAGTTTGCTGACTCAAAGGCACGGCGGCGGCGGCGGCGAGCGCCCAGGAGCGCACCCGAGCGCAGCCCCGCGCGCCCCGCGCACGTAGCGGCCCGCGCCCGCGCTCAGCATCCGCAGACCTCGTGGGGCCGCCCGGCCTCCCGCTTCCGCCGCCCTGGGGCGCCACCGCACAGCCCAGCCCAGGTGCAGCCCGCAGCCGCCGGGGAGCCCCGCCCCGCCGCCGCGGAAGATGAGACGCACCCTCCTCCCGCTGGGCTGCAGCGAACGGTACGGCCACCCGGGTGCGCCACGGCGCCCCGGGGCCCGGGTTCTGCTTCTGCTTCCCCTGTCCGCCAGATCCGGCTAGGAAGGCAACACCCGCGCCTGCCGGGGCTCCGGAGCTGAAGGTGTGCAAGCGGCACCCTTTGGAATCACCACGTGAAAGCCACCTGGGGTTTGCCAATCCTGCCCCGTTAGTGATAGGAGGATTGATGAATGGGGAGAGAGGGGATAGCTGGTGTGACCGACAAGAAAGGTAAATTGTTAGTGGTAGAATCTAGGGGATGGGCACATGGAGTGTTTACTGGAAAATTCTTTCAAGTTTGCTGTATGTTTGAAATTTTTCATAATAAAACTTCTGGGAAAGCGAAATGAGATCGGCCAAGGGGCCTGAATCCTGTCTCCAATGGCACCTTGGGCTGCGTCTCACCCACCTGTTTACATGGAAAACCCCAAGATTCGCTGAAACAGCTCCTGGATGACTACAGGCCAGAATAATAAACGTAGCCTAACACTTCATTTTTCCAGCATGAATTTTCCCATTAGACACAGCCAGCTGCAGATTATCATTCAGGGCCATTCCGGGCCCACCTGAAAATGTGAATGTCTGTCTGCTACACCTAAACTAACTTTGCTAACAAAACGTCTAAATCCACAATGTAATGTCTTAGCTTGCATCCTGAACTTGGAGCTCTGAGCCTTGAAACAACTGGTGTTAAGCAAAATTTAACAGAATCAAATTTAAAAGATCTCATTGGCTTTATTCAGCTATTCATGAATCTGGCAGTATGATTTCTACGTAGCAGATAGAAAGGAGCTCTGAGGAGCTGGACAATGTGAAGGATTTTATAGGCAGAAGAGAGTCGAACAAGTGATACTAGCAAAAAGCAGGTTGGTTGTGGCCAGGTTCTTTTCCTGGAGGGTTCAGCAGGGGTCTATCAGGCAGATTACCCGGTCTGTGCTGACCAGGTTATTCCTGATTGACTGGTTTAAGATTCCATTTCTGGGAGATCCTGAAACTGTAATGAAGTCTCAGTTTGGTGAGGTAGGGCCCATTTGGGGCCCTTTGTCTTGTTTTTAATGTTGCTATTTAATCCTTAAAACTGCACCCAGGTCCTAATACACAAGTAATGTAAACACGATCACTTTTGAAAATCAAACTGAAGTTTATTTTTCAGATTCTTGTTCCTTTGCCCCACAAAGAGAGTGTTGACTGGAAAACAAAATGCTGCGTACATCTAGATCCCAAAAGATTCTGGAAAATTAAAATCTTTCTAAACTTATTGTTGTCAAAGCACAACTTTACAACTGTAGACAGCAGCAAAACAAAAATAAAAACAAAAACAAAAAAATTCACAACTTTGGAGAGTCTACAGGAGGTCATTTAAATATCTGTTAGAAGTATGGTCCTAACAAAGAGGAAGACTGTGGAAAGAATTCAGAATAGAATGAAGCAATAATGGGGTATTTCAGTCCACTCCCATGGATGTAGCACCTGGGTGGTGTCACCAGTTTAAGAATTATGTGTAGCCTGGGGCGCCTGGGTGGCTTAGTCGGTTAAGCGTCCGACTTTCGCTTAGGTCATGATCTCGCGGTTCGTGGGTTCGAGCCCCGTGTCGGGCCCTGTGCTGACTGCCAGCTCAGAGCCTGGAGCCTGTTTCAGTCTGTGACTCCCTCTCTCTCTGACCCTCCCCTGCTCTCGCTGTCTCTCTCTCTCTCTCCTGGAAATAAATAAAACATTTAAAAAATAAAAAAAAATAAAAAAGAATTATGTGTAGCCTGAATCTAGGGGACTGAGCTAAGTGACTCCACCTTTTTAGGTTCTGACTTTTTGTTATACCATCAGTAGGCAGCTAAAAAACTTAGGACTTTCCGGTGCTTAAGAAATTCTAGCCAGCTGAGAAAGTTACCATAAAATTGCTTTAAAAAATGTTTTTTATTTATATACTTTAGACAAGAAGAGTGAGCAGGGGAGTGACACAGAGAAGGAGAGAGAGTCCCAAGCAGGCTCTGCATTGTCAACGTGGCTCACGAACCCACAAACTGTGAGATCACGACCTGAGCTGAAGTCACGAGTCTGACGCTTTACCCACTGAACCACCCAGGTGGCCCCATAAAATTGCTTTTAGGAAGAAATTCTTTTAACTGTCACATCCGGCCGGCCTCAATGGTGGTTACTAGGGCCCAGTTCAATGAATTCAAACCCAGCTTTATCACCTCTCATTATGTGATCTTGGGAGAATAACTTAAAGTTTCTGGGCCTCAATTTCCTATTTGAAAAAGGAGGATGGTAAGATTAGCACCAGCCACATAGGGTTGTTGTGGGGGTTAAGTGAAATAACCCAGGTATGGGGTGCCAGTTGGTATGAGACCCGGTTGGTAGAGCATGTGACTCTTGATCTTGGGGTCATGGGTTTGAGCCCCACATTGGGTATAGAGATTACTTTAAGAAAAAAAGTAAAATACTTAAAAAAAGTGTTTTTAAAGTAATACAGGTAAATGTCTTGGGACTGTGCTGGGTACATAGCAAGTGCTCAATAAATTATATTTATTATTATAACTTTATTATAACTGGTACTATAATTTGATCGTCTTCTCTAATCTCTTACATCTCCAAGCTGCCCATAAGGAAGCCACCTCCAACACACTGCCTAGATCTCAGAAGTCAGTAAGAAGACACTGAGTGCTTACTCCATTCCCTGGGAAAATTGCAAAAACTACAGACGGTACAAATGGAAGTTGCCTGGACTCCGTGTTCAGAAATTATGATTGGTTGATACTATACAGAACATTACATTAAAAGGTCTTTAAATTTATATTGAGTTGTGCTGTCTTTTTGAGAAGCACTGTGATATGATATACAGAAGATGGTTTTTGTGATGCATCCAACAATAAGACCATCAACAATAAAAAAAAATGAAACAAATTGCAAATAATTCTGATTTTGGTTTCTGACCTTACAATCATAATCTGTTTCCAATAGTATGAAGACAGATTAACATGAGTAAAAATAACCACTCCTGACCATCAATCTAACCTGTTTTTTTGAAATACCTCTCTAACGCACCCCTGTCACACTATGACTACAGGAAAGTTTTGAGCCTGATTACCTGTTTCTAAGATAAAGGGGTTTAGACTTCTCATCCATCTACCCACCGCTTCATCTTCCTACTACCTTTCTCTCAGTTAACGCCACAATCCTCCCAACTTTGGCACTGGCTTGGGCCTGGTCCCTTCCCCGATGTACAGAGACCCAAGTTCCATGCATTTCCCTGTGGTCAGATCCTGGCATCACTCACCCTCTCTCTGCTTTCCATTCTCTTACCCAGCTCTCCACTCTCTCAGAATCCTACAGCACCCTCTTTTCGGTGGTCCAAGATAGTGGTTTTCAAATGTGTTTAGCAAGGGATCCTTTCTTAAAGATGAACCCCCTTCATAAAACAGCAATAAACAGTATTGCATTGCTATACATTACTTGAAAAATTTGATTTTGTAACATTGATCTATTATAAAGAACTCGAGACCACTGGAAGCTGCTTTGGTGAACAGCAACGTTTGAAATCAGGGTTTTGTGAATGATTGTTGGAATCTACTATCAGCACCAACATATAATTTATTCCTGTATTTGATGGCTCACTATTGAAAAAAACCTAATCCACTGAGAGAGGCGTTTGCAAATAGTCACAGTTTGTAAACAGTTTGAGATTTTCCTCAATATAAACTATTCAGAAGTTTGAAAGAGGAATAATGAAAATTTTTGTTTCAAAGATAAAGCACTAAGAATATGTAACATATTCTGGTGCTTTATTGCAAATAGAAAATGTGGGTCAGGGGGGCGCCTGGCTGGCTTAGTCAGAAGAGCATGTGACTTTTGATCTCTGGGTTGTGAGTTTCAGTCCCAAGTTGGGTGTAGATTACTAAAAAAAATAAATAAACTTTTAAAAAAGGAAAGAATATGCAGGTCAGAAGACCAGTAGTTACAGTAGATGTTAACATGTATATAATGGGAATTATCGCCAGATGACAGCTGTGTGTCCACATGTCTTTATACAACAGTGTAAAAAAAAAACCCTCCTGTGTTTCTCCTTTGCTCTCACACGACTACCACGTCCACAGCACTTCTGACACCAGATGTGTGGGGTTTCCAAGCAACACCAGATGTGTGTCCTACAGTTCCATTCCATCCTGACACTATCCACCTGAAGTCAGTGTCAGATCCCATAGGGTAAGTATTCACTCCCATAAGACTGTCTGCACGTCAGATGCTTCTGGATAGTTCCTGATTTATGGTGATTCAGTTTAGGATTTTTCAACTTCACAACAGCATGAAAGGGATACATCTGCAGTGGAAGCTATACTTCCAATTTTGAATGTGGATCTTTTCCTGGGCTAGGGGTAAATGGTATGAACTTCTTCTGTGATGTTGGTCCCTTTCCCCTTGCTAAAGGTTAGGAGGTGCAGTGGAAATTTCCAAGCTTTCAACCACGGTTTGGTCTTTCTGGTGACCAGCTTCCATCTTGAAGCTATCCAGGAGCCCACCCGGGGTTGCATAATTAGAACAAAAGACACTCCAAAGCCTCTTGGAAATTCCAGGGGATTTAGGAGCTCTGTGTCACAAACCAGGCTCAAAACCAAGTATTAGAACAGAAGCTCCCCCAATGTTCTTATCTCTTAGGAAATTACAAGGTTCTTAGGACCGCTGTTCCAGGAACCTGGGGCATACGTGTGTGTGTGTGTGTGTGTGTGTAATTATTTTTTGTATTAGTTCACAACAACCAACAGAAGCACACACCAGGCAGAGGGGTGGGCTAGTCCTCCACAGGACCCACCCATGGATGCATTCTGCAGTGATGTTCGGTCATTCTCCTCTATCAAGATAGCCAATAGCTTCATTCCCTAAAAGGAAAGAAAAAAAAAGTTTTGCATTATTAAAAATTCCATTTTAAAAGCATCGGTTTTAATGGCAGATTTTATTATTATAAACCAAAAAGAATAAATTGGTTTGCTAAAACCGACTGAAACCGAGTAACAAAACTTAGCATCACTGAGCGTATCTTGTACTTAAATCCAGTCCCAAGACGTCTAATTTCCAGGCCTTTGCTATAAAGTGTAATACGGTATAATTAGCACCAACAATCAACCGAAGAGCAAGAGAGCAATGGAGAAGCCACCCTCTTGCATAGAGGAGCTAGTAGAGGTTCCTACTCTGCCGATGTTCTGGCCTTTATTTTGTACACACGATACTAGTTCTAGAATATGGGTGCATTACAGTCCACAGCCAGGTGGAGGTAATAGAGTGCAGTGGTTATGGTTCCTGAGCCAAAACCTCTGTTCTCTTCCCAAAGCTTTCACTTAGTAGCCTCATGACCTGGCAAATCACTTCATTTCCAAATCTCACTTTTCTTTTTTCTTTAAAATTTTTAAATTTATTTTCGAGAGAGAGAGAGCATGAGCAAGGGAGGGTCAAAGAGAGAGGGAGACACAGAATCTGAAGACAGGGATCTGGCGCTGAGCTGTCACCATAGAGCCTGACACAGGGCTTGAACCCATGAACCATGAGATCATGACCTGAGCCGAAGTCGGACGCTTAACCGACTGAGCTGCCCAGGTGCCCTTCCAAATCTCACTTTTCTTATCTATGATAGTATCTACCTAAGGGTTGGAATGAAAAGATAATAGATAAACGTAACTTAGTCCAGTACTGCAATGGAGTAAAAAAAAAAAAAAAAGCTTTATAAGCATTACTTAGATACTATTGCTTCTAATGCCCACCTCATCTTTGCTGAATAAATGGTTGCCTAATATGTAAATCTCTTTGTGATAACTCTTGCAGAAGACGATATGATTATCCTCATGTATATAGTTTTCTGTGAACAGGCATACACACCCCTACACTTTTTAAAATAACCAGTCCGTGTATATGCATGAAATATCTCTGAAAGGACACACTTGGATGAGGAGAAAGAGTGAGTTGGGGCCAAGATGGGAGGAAGATTACTCTTCACTCTATATCCTTCTGAACCTTTCAAATATTAGAGAGCACATTCACAAATGTATTAACAAAGTAAGAGACAAGGACAAGACACATGAACAGGCAATTCCACAAAACAAGTACCAACAGCTAATAGACCATAAAAGGAGAATCCATTTTATAACAGTTAGCTTAGTTAAAAAACTGCAATAGAGAATATCACATGGTGACAACAGATATTTTCATGCTCTGTTCATGAGTGGAAATAGGAAAAACAATTGTGGAGAGTGACCAGGATCCCGTCATGCATACCCTATAGGTCAGCAATACCACTCCCCAGCATCTTTCCTAGACACCCGTACTTGTGTGATTGAGAATACACACGTGCAAGAATGGGTACTTCACCATTGTAACGGCAAGACACTGGCAGCAAGTTCAATGTCCACCAATAAGGGAATGTTTAAATAATCCAGAGCACATGCACAGCAATGTCTATATGCATTGACATCAAAAGATTTTCAAGACATATTAAGTGAAAAAAGAAAAGTGAAAAATTATCTAGTGTGCTACCATTTCTGTAGAAGTTTTAAGCTTATAAAACTTCTTCTGTTGGTAGATAGATAGATAGATAGATAGATAGATAGATAGATATGTATATATGGTCTAGGAGAGCGTTAAACGTTTACAGAGGTTTCCTCTGGGGAAAGGAATGACCCAACGTGGCTGCTAGCCTTTTGTGAAATTGTATTAAAAGCTCTCTTCCATCAGGACACTTTATTGCTGTCTGCTGCAAAGCCATCATTAAAAATACGTGAAAACTTACTACCCCATGAGGATCGCCCCCTAGGGTTGTTCAAGGGTACAACGTGCATGATCCTGCTCTGTGCCTATAGAGGACATTCCCTTTATGTGTAAGAACTGAGCTTTTTTGCAGTGAGACTGAGATCAAGTTCTATTCTGAGTTCTATACAAAATACGTTAACAGTTACCTCGGCCACATAGATAAACATTAGGTCGTTTTCAATGTGTTAAAATTTAACAGGTAATGCATTTCAGTGTGCAAAGGCAGTTAAGTGGCAATGTGGTGAGGTCTGTGGGTTAATGTCATTGCCAACATCAGAGACTGACTGCTTCCAAGTGCAAGGAGGATTTGAGCAGGAGCAACCTTGGGTATCAGATGAGATAAGTTAATTACCTCTCAACTCCTTCCTTTTAGATGATAGGAGTGCACTAAATCTTGCATAGCAAAGTATCAATTCTCAGTGGCACCAGGTAGCCATTTCCTTGCTTCTCTTTATATTTCAAACATATTATATATGTTTTGGAGGCACCAGGAATTGGTAAAGTATTTGCGGCAATTGCTCATGGCAGCTTAGAATGTTTTTGCAATATGAAACAATTCAAATTACTGGTAAATTTCTATGTGGGTTTAGATACTCAAGGGTAAAATGTGTTACTGGTTATTTATAGCGGCAACAAAATTGGCACTGAACGTAAAATTGTGAAGAATTTTGTTTGCATGAAAATATTAAATAGTGTATCATTAATTTTTCAAAAAATCAAATAAAAAAGTGTTGGTTTATTTTAAGTAATTTATTTAACAAATTTTATGTTTAGTATATACACTTCACTTTTGCTTTTTTGGTTCTTCAGGTGTGTGTTATGTTTCTGGGGGCTTCTGTGGGTCAGGAATTCAAGTAGGACTCAGCTAGGTGGCTCTTCCACATGTGTTGGCATTCACTTGATTGTATTTGGCTGGTGGCTTGGCTGGTCTCTCTCTCTCTCTCTCTCATGTAGGTCTCAAGTCACTTAGCCTCTTTAAACTGGTTGCATTTCTTCCCATCT